CAAACCAAAACCAAATCTTAAAAAAATAATGATTTTCAATGTTAACATTACAAGACATTTCATTTAAATGAGCAAAAGATTTGTAAAGAGCTGTCAATAACAACTGACTCAGCACTCCTGTCACGAAAGGCCAATACACCATCGGTGTAAGTAACTCGTATGCAGTATCGCTGTCCTTTTTATTAATTACGAAACCAAAGAACGCAGTTATTACTGCTACGTCATACATGAGTTATTGGTGGGTTGTTGAACTAACCTAAACATCTCTTCATTATATACGACTATATTATTAGAATGTTATCTTAACATTATTACATTTCATCTATTAGATTATCTGTAAAATTCTGGGGTTTACAGGCACACTTTCATGGTCCATAAGTCACAGACCAGAACCAATCGGCTTGGCAGAATGGAACAAGTTTATGTAGTATAGTTTTACGATCCATCGCACGTGTAGAGATATTTAGTATTCTGAACCTAGATCCTAGATAATAAAATAATATGAATTCACTGATGCAATTATCCACATTTCTGAATACGAAAAGTAAAAAAACAACAACTTGAAATAAAAGCGGCTTTTAAAGAATTTATCAAATTCACGTCAGTAAGTCTTTAGATTTGTTTTTTTTTAACATGTTGGCAATGTTTGTTTGTTATTAAGCACAAAGATCCACAGTGGGTTATCTGTATTTTACTCACCACGATTATCGAAAACCCGGTATTTTGCGGTGTGAACCCAAAGACTTATCGCTGAGCCACTGGGGGCGCGGGCAGTGACTCTTAAACCAATTTAATTGGCATCTGTGATAATGACTAGCTAATGTAATTGTGGCATAAATGAAATTGATAAAAAAAATACACTTCGCCAACAGTTGTCAAGCAATCTGTTAATATAAATTGCATCTGAAACAAGTACCATGCCTGTCGTCTCCCAGACGGCTTGAATAGGCCTGGTATGACTCTTAAACCAATTTAATTGGCACCTGTGATAATGACTAGCTAATGTAATTGTGGCATAATTGAAATTGATAAAAAAATACACTTCGCCAACAGTTGTCAAACAATCTGTTAATATAAATTGCATCTGAAACAAGTACCATGCCTGTCGTCTCCCAGACGGCTTGAATAGGCCTGGTATGACTCTTAAACCAATTTAATTGGCACCTGTGATAATGACTAGCTAATGTAATTGTGGCATAAATGAAACTGATAAAAAATACACTTCGCCAACAGTTGTCAAACAATCTGTTAATATAAATTGCATCTGAAACAAGTACCATGCCTGTCGTCTCCCAGACGGCTTGGATAGGCCTGGTATCGAGCGAAAGAAAGATTTGTTTTAAAGCAAACTCTCCACCGCGGGAAATCGAACACCAGCTTCTACCTGTTTGTGTGTTGGTAAACTATTATGTACAGTTATCGGAACAAGGAATACTATCTTTTTTATATATTTCATCTCACACTAAATGGATACCGTGGTAAAGCTTTATGGCGTGAACCGATCGCTGTATTATAAACAAACAAAAAGTTAAAAAAAAAGGTATATTATGAACGACGTAGTACTCTTAGCATGATTGTTAACTATTCGGAACCGACTTATAGAGATGAAATCATTAAGTTCTTGATTCAAAAAATTTCTCGAATTGTGTCACACACACTTGCACCTGATTACAAACCACGTGACCTCTCAAAATCTTTGACGATGTACTCATGAAAACGTTTTTAAAGATTTAGTGCTTCGATAAGAAGGCATTAATGTAGGGTTGAATCGTATTTTTAAGCTTTCGGGGAAGGCTTATTTTGATTTATGAAGACAAAACAGCATATGATTCAAGTACATTGAAAAAGCGCTTGGGTGAAGTGTTATTTGTGTAGCCTAAAAGGTTTATATTTTCCATTGAAAAACAATCGTAGAACATGTACAACCAGTATGACTGGTCCAAGGTTAAAGGAACTTCAACATTTTAAGCTTATTATATAAAATCACACACACAAGTCAATAGTCTTGGATTTTCAAAAGTGATATTAAGTTGTAACGTTTCAGGTTTATTCTGCTTTGATAACATTTTATGTCCTACGATTATCTGTTTCTCAGGGCCATTTGTTGTTTTATTACTTTTTTTATTGTGGATTACACGAATTGTAATTTAACAGGACATACTGTTATTTAGTTATTTCTGTTTATTATTTTTTGCTGAAATTTGAATAGACTACGTGTTTGTGTTTATAATCTTCAGGCAAATGTTAGCGCTATCACGTTAGCGTGACTTCTGGTCTTATTTTAGCAGAATTAGCTAGGTTTGAATGTATGAGACTTGTATTTTATAAAAGTGAATACTCTAAAAAATTATTTAGTGCTCTCGGGCGTCACGAAATCTTTCAACTGCAGAGTCTAAATATCGGGCTTTTTCAGAAAGTGGTTATCATTTTATGGGCTATATAAATAATGTTTTGATGTTTTTGTTCACTAGAGGTTTCTTTACATGATGTAATAAGTCTTGAAATTTCATGTAATACATAAAAAAAACTAGTAATATATAAAAGTGACAGACTGATTGAGTTAGAGTTAGTTGATCATTACCAGTTCAGCGTGTCTGTTATTGATCGGTTGGTGAAGAAATTTTTGCAAGTGACTTTATTTATGAGTTAGACATAAAGTCTTGGAATTTCTATCCAAACTTTTTTGTGAAGTTGTGCCTACCAATTAACGTAGAACGTAGCTTGTATAAAACGTTATTTAAGAAATAAATTAATTCGTTATCATTATAGATGATGTTCTACTGCATTAATTTTCGATGGAATTTCATTATTATCTACAAATTTGTATTTTTTTTTTCAAATATATTTCTCCTGAAAATTGTGTTTAGTATTTGGGAATATACAGGTTGTTGTAAATTATAACTTATATATTTTGAATTTATAAATAAACATGTGCAGGATTATTATGATTTGTTTTTAATATTTCTCTATTTTCTAACTTTAGGCTTTTTTTATTTAGTACACATATATGAAAATAGCGGGAATAATAAATTGCAGAGTTAGTTATAAAGGTGTCATTGCATAAATGAGTAAATTAGGTTTAAAGGGGTTGTTTACAATGCATTCAGAATGCTCGAAAGTTTTCGATGAAATAGGTAATTCACCTACCACAGTAATTTTACAGGAGCTTCAGTCGTATATAACGATGAGGGGGATTTTTTTCAATTGTTGTTATGTTCTTTAAAATTTTGCTGATACTTAAAAGGCAGAAATATCTTTATCTTGAATGACAAAGGTGTGAATGAACCTATTCAAAGCAAATTCCAAACTTCCAATTAGTTGAAGAGTTGAACTTTAATTTTTACATTAACTTATTTTATCTGTAATCAAGCTCTGTGACTTAAAGTTAATTTTTAACGAAGTTTTCTCTACATTCACATAATCGTATTATGGAAAGATAGGTTTGAATAGCTAATGGAGAGTCGTGGGTTCGAAATCCGTCACTGAACATGCTCGCCCTTTCAGCTCTGTGGGGGGTGTTATAATATCACGGGCAATCCCGCTATTCGTTGGAAATAATTAACTCATGAGTTGGTGGTGAGTGGTGTTTAGCTGACTTACCTCTAGTCTTATCACTTCAAAATTAGGGGTAACTAGCTCAGGTAGCTCGAGTAACTGTGCTCGACATTCAACAAACAAACAAACGAGTAATTACCATGTATTGAGGTTATCGTAGCTCGTAACAATTAACTACGCATAAAGGTTTTCAAACCTGTTGTTCAGAGATTTAGAAACGTTTTTAATTACTTTTTGACAGTAGTACTTTTTCCTATATTTCAGTACGCGTCAAATCAACAACCAAATTAAACTGCTCATAAGGTTATTGCTATTCATTAAAATCAAAATTTCATATTCTTAACACCAGTGTTTTATCTCCCATGAGGGACCGTTCACGTAATTACCCGTGTTTACTCAAAAATTATTCATATCTTGAAGATTAATTTTAAAAATAAATAATATTGTAATATGTTGTTTTTTCTCCCTCATGGAGGAGAATACCAGTAATGTTCTTGTCTGGGGTGGGGCGCTGGTGCAGATTTCTGCAACCGCCCTGGATGTCTTTGTAGTTAATTTTTTTAAAGATTTAAACCTTTAGTTTCTTTTATTTCACAGTCTGTCGTCCATGTTCAGAAGAAGAAATGCTCAGGTACTACTGCACCAGTGACTTTGGTAAGTGTAAAATCTTTAAATCTAAAACGTTTAGAAAATTAGGCGTAGTATCTAATTATTCTAATACCTAGTTTTTGTCAGGAAACACTAAATACTATCTTTAAAAACCTTTGAAATAATTTCTTTGGTTCACAGGTAAAAGTGAATGTTGGCTACATATTAATGTATTTCCTTAAAGTTGTAAATATTTCAAGAGTATAATGATTGTAAAACGAGAATTGTTTCAGGATATAAAACTTGCTGAAAACAGTTACTAGTAAGTCTTTTCGTTGTTGATATTGTTTGTTTCTTTTCGACGTCTACATTGCATTATTCATGTCGTTTCATTTAACACATTTTTCATTTTCATAAAAAACATTCTGGAATCTACTTTTATGAAAAGAAAAAAAAAAAGAAGTTCCAAAATACAACAAAAAGTGCGTTTTGCCATTCAATGATTAACTTAATCTACTTCACACCACAACATGTATTGTTCATAAACATTTATGATATAAATAGCGCTTACATCACTACAATGTTAGGTATATCCGAGCCGTACTGGTGAGCCCTGATATTTGACGAAAGGCCTCGTCGGCACCGGATATAGCAGATATAATGTGGTTGGCATATTATAATGTATTTTTCTTTGCTTTCACTCATAAATTCTTAGAATTAGTCGTGATTTTCATCACTTTAGCGTTAAAGCTGATGATAGTTTGGAAGTATTTGCTAAGCTTATGGACGGCGAATAATGTTTTAGAAAGCGTACGTTTAACTTTTCCGTTTTATTTTTGTGAATTTCGCGCCCCCTTTTTGACCACCGGAAGAAGGATATACGGTACCTCTCCTTTCTGCCATTGTTTCTTTAGTCGTGGTTGTGATTAGTAGTAGAAGAACAGGAAGGGCTTGACTGTTGTTGAGCTTTGTAAGTAGAAGAGGACTTGTTGATTTAAGCCTGTCTGATTTTAGTTAATCTGTTGTCTAGAAGTGCGTGAGTCGTTAGAAGTTGTTGATTCTCTCGTCACACTAAAATTGTAATAATCTAAGTGGAGTTAAGCTGCTTTAGGCTCAAGCGGAATATCCTGTATTTTCAACAGTGCTTCTTAACGTAACAGTAGTATGTAAAGATAGAATTTCACCAAGGCATTCAGGTTTAAGCCTACTTCCTGAACTAGAGGGTTTGACCACATGTGGCTATTGGCGCTTTAGTTACACCACAGTGTTGGGCTATAAGCATATTGCTAAGTATGAGAAAGAGAACTGTAGCAGTTGAATTGTGGTTCTTAAGGTGCATCTTGAAAGTATGTTGGACAAGTCACACTTTAAATGAAGACATTTTTGTCAAGAGCAGGTTGCAAGAGGAAGTTTCTGATTAACATCAGAAAGAAACAGGGTTTCTCGGACACGTTATGAGGAATGAAGAAATTGAAAGTCTGGTCGTAGCTGGAAGGACTGAAGGAAGGAGAAACCATGGAATATAGAGGTTGACTTACGTCAAGAGCCTATCTAAATGGGTAAATGTATCGACACTGGAAATTCTTTGTGCCTCAAGGAGAAGAGATCTGTGGAAGACCATGGTCGCAAACGTTCTGTGGCTATAAGTGGTTGTTGTCGTTAAGGCTTATAATTTGTATATCAATGCTATAATTACATTTTACGACATCTTTCCAGCTGTAACCTAATATCATAATTACTGTATTTACTCTCTTCTTTTAATGAAATATCATTGTGTATAATGCTTGGAATAATGCAGTATATCACAAATCAGAATTTGATCAATAACTAACTATTTGAACGTTTACTCCAACAAAAAATATTTCATGTATAGCAGAGACGGCTGATATGAGTATTAAAAACTTTGATTAAAATAAAATATAAGAAAAACGTTTCGACCTTCTCAGGTCATTTTCAGGTTAACAAAGACAGCTTGAAACTGACCATTACTGAGCACACGTCTTGGGGACGAGAGTGTCAACGGGTACGAGATTGTAAGGGGCGTAACAGTTAGATGTTAGGTATAAAGGTGTTCCTTTATGTTGGTTCAATTTTGGTTTGCATTCTTGTATAAGTAGGGCTTCTTTGATTTTGAGTTTGTTTGTCTTTGCTTCTCTACTTAATATGTTGGTATCTTCTATGGTTATGTTGTGTTTATTAGATTTGCAGTGTTAAAAACTTGGGAAAGTATTTTTTTTTTGTTCATTGAATCTAGTTTCCATTTTTCGGCTTGTTTCTCTGATATAAAAGTCGTGGGAGTTGTTGCATTGTAATTTTTAAATAATGTTGGTGTTATGTTTCTCAATGTAATTTCTACATAGTATGGATTTTAGTTTTG